TTTTTTTTTTCTAGTTTTTTTAAGATAGGTCGGTGATGTTTACCGAGCTGGTGTCTCGTTTAATAAATATAACGGTAATTTTTTTGAGTTTTTTGTTTACCTAGTTTACTAATAAACATTCTGATAAGGACTACAGTGGTAGTGGTCATAACAGTTGTTAAGCCTACCATATATTATTAGAAGTACAGATGATGCTTATTTTATAACTTTACTGATTTAAAACTGAGTGTTAAGGAAACTGTTTTAAAAGAGAAGTTCTAGAGTATTACAAGCCAAGCAGTTATTTAATTGAAGTGCTTCTCATGTGTGACCGCTAATTTTCTCATTCCTTTGGTAACTTAATTGTCTGTGTTTGGTTTTTTTTTGCATTGCTTTTTTAGATACTTGTGCCAAATGTAAAAATTATCTTCTTGAAAATCAGTCCTGAAATACGTTTTGTCACCTTATAGTTGGTTGTTACTTTAAGAAAAGCTGCTGTAGTTGGTCTGGAAATGTTTTGAAGTAGGTTGACTCGCGGAGTAAGAGAAAACGTCCTGAAAGTTTGATAAGTTGTTGTGAATGATGTATTTAGTGATTTGAAGATCGGTTTTAAGTGATGTGCTCTTTGCACTCGATTTTATGCGTTGGTAACTCAGCTAAGTTTGGGAAGAAATTTTTGCTGAAGCTTTAATTGTCGCGGAACAGCAGTGCTTACCATAGTTACTTGTCCTGAAATCGTTTTTGGCAACAAGGGATCTTTTAATGTTAAACCAAACGAGTGAACAGTATTCCATCTGCTACGAGAATTGAAAAATTTTTAGGTCGCTCGTTATCAACATTAGGGTCGATGGTGTGCACAGCTAAATTTGAAAAATTACCGGAGTTAGCAAAACCAGGTCACTACTCTATAAAACTTGTTCCTGATCTGCAGACTTTTGAGTTTGACGGGGATGAAGAAATTGATTTGAAAGTAAGCCAAGATTATTTTTTGTAGGATCTTATTTATTTGTGGAACTCCAGTTCTTACTTTTTATGTTTGTGTTGTGTGCATCTTTAGATTACAAAAGCCACAGACTGCGTGAAACTTCATGCAAGCGAAATAGAAATCAAAAAAGCAGCACTCACATTATCTGATGGCTCTGGTTGGTTGCTTTTTGCTCAGTTGTAAATTTTAAGTTTTGTTTTGAATGGCCTTTTTGCTTTTTTTAAAAACTGTTACACCCAATTTTTATATCTTCTACCATCAAAAATTGTAATTTAAAAATTATATTTATTTAGTGTTTGACGATCTTCATGTCGATTATGATAAACAGTGGACCACAGTTACTTTGCAGTTCCCCAAAACTGTCACTCCTCAAGAAGGCCGTATTTCTTTAAAATTTAGAGGTACTTTAAATGACAAGATGAAGGGTTTTTATAGATCGTCTTACAAGGATGCAACAGGGAAAGAGCAGTTTATTGCTACTACGCAGTTTGAAGTAAGTTCCTTAAAACGTTCACCGATTTTTTGGTTACAAAAACAGATTGAGGTTTTTTAGAGCACTTACGCTCGTTTGGCTTTCCCTTGTTGGGATGAACCGATCTACAAAGCTAAATTCGACATTACGCTTGTAGTGGATAATCATTACACGGCGCTTTCAAACATGGTAATTTTACATTGCATTAGATTGTGGCTTTTGTATTTTTTTTGAAAGTGTTCACTAGCTATATAATTCTTTTTTTTTTTTAGAATATTGTTAAAGAAGAGAAAGTTGGTGATAAGAAGGCTGTTACTTATGCAACGACTCCAATAATGTCCACTTATTTAATTGCGTTTGCAGTTGGAGATTTTGAGTTCATTGAGGTTTTATTTTATCGGCTTATTTTTTTTTAATAGCGAGAATGGAATAGAAGGATGCTCTCGTTTATTTTCTTAAGGCACTATTTTCAAATCTGTTCCAGAGCAAAACTAAAAGTGGGTGCATAACTCGTTTGTATACTGTTCCTGGTAAGAGTAAACAAGGAGAATTCGCGTTGAATCTTGGAACAAAGGCCATAGATTGGTATAATAATTGGTTCGGCATAACTTACCCGCTTCCCAAATGTGACCTTATCGCAATCCCTGATTTTAGCAACGGTTTATTTTTTTAAAAACTTCAACAAGAAGTTTCAAAATTTCCCTTTCTGTTCATTTAAACTATGATCATCTTGGTGCTCAGGGGCAATGGAAAATTGGGGACTTGTAACGTATAGAGAAGTTGCGCTTTTAATTGATGAGACAAAGTCATCTACGAGGCAAAAGTCACGCGTTGCTCTTATTGTTGCTCATGAACTGGCTCATCTTTGGTTTGGAGATCTTGTTACAATGGTCAGGAAATATTTCAGTTGCTGGAATTTATCAGAGATCTAGTTTAATTAAGGAAGAGTGTTAAAGATTTCATTTGGAAAACCCAATATTTGTATTACTGAATGACATATTTAGAAGTGGTGGACGGACTTATGGTTAAAGGAAGGATTTGCGTCGTTTATGGAATATATGTTTGTTGGCAGTAATTACCCTGAATACAAGATATGGCTTCATTTTGTTAATGACGAAATGGCTCCTGGGTTTGGCCTGGATGCGTTAAGAAGCTCTCATCCTATAGAAGTGTGTATCTTCCCAGTCAAATTACTGCTTAAGTTCTGTAGTCGTCAGCGTAACTGCTAAACTTTTGCAGCGATGCTTGTATTTTAGATTGAAATCAACAATCCGAATGAGTTAGATGAGATCTACGACAATATAACATATGCAAAATCCAATTCTGTTAATCGTATGTTATGCAATTACCTAGGGGAAGAATCCTTCCAGAAGGGTTTGAGGGCTTATCTCAAAAAGTTCCAGTATAGTAACGCTGTGACAAATGATTTGTGGGACTCATTATCTGAAGCATCTGGGCAGGTTGACCTTTTAGATTAACCATTTATTTTAGTAAGATGTGATTTCTTTCCGTTTGTTTAGGACATAAGACGTTTAATGTCAAGTTGGACAAAACAAATGGGATTTCCTTTGGTACAAGTGTCTCAGAGTGTTGATGGGAACAAAAGAACTTTGAAATTGAAACAGTCACGGTTTCTAGCCGATGGAGGGACAGATGAAAATGATCAGCTCTGGCAGGTATCCTGGAACCAGTTCAATTAGTGTTATTTTTAGTGTCACCAGTGTACTTTGGCTCCATTTTATATAATATTTTTGTGGTTTCCTTTTAAAGTTTTAAACTGTTTTTTAGGTACCTATTACAGTTTCGACAAGCTCCGATCCTAGTGTTATCAAACATAGGTTTTTGTTAACTGAGAGAGAACAAGAAGTCACTCTTGATAATATTCCATCGACAGAGTGGGTAAAGGTTAGTTTTATTTTCTATTTCTGCAGCATTTTGCAAATTCTGAGCCTTGCGGTGGGGTGAGCCTCTTTTAAACTAGTTAAAAGTAAGAGAGGTGAATACAACGCTATTACTCTAACCGTGTGTGGGGATTTTGTGAAACTGGTTAAATATTTAATGCTTAGTAATTTGTTCTTTTCTGTAGATTAATGCCGGTACCACGGGTTTTTATCGCGTGGAATATTCACCCGAAATTTTAGAAGCTTTGCTTCCTGACGTTTCCTCGAAAAAGCTTCCTGCAGTTGATAGATTTGGGTTGACCGATGACCTCTTTGCCTTGGTTTGCTTTTTCTAGTAGAAGATCATCTTCCTTTTAAAGTGTTTTTACCACTTTTACGTTAAAGGTTCGAGCGGGCCGGGTTAGTGCTACACAGTTTCTGACTTTCCTAGCAGCAAGCACAAATGAAGACGAATATATTGTTTGGGGAGCCTTAGATGCAGGTTCCTTCTTTTATCTAAGTGTCATGACACTTCGCTTATATTCTATTACCTCAGGTGAGTGAAAACCTTTTTAAGGGATCTCAAGTTTGTGTAGTGTATTGAAGAACGCTGAAGATACGACGCTTCTTCCGAGATTCAATCGGTACATTATCAAGATCTTGGCACCAGTTGGCCAACGTTTGGGTTGGGAGGCAAAGAAAGGAGAAGGCAAGAACCTTTATTAAGCTTATTTGAAATAATTTTGGATTTCACTAATACGAAAGGCATTTTCGTCTTGATAAAAATATTTTCTAGATTTACAAGTAGCAATGCTGCGAGCTTTGATCTTGGGAAGACTTGGTCGTTGTGGACACGAAGAAACCATAAATATTGCCCGAGAGAAATTCAAGGATCATGTGGAAAACCATACCGACCTGCATCCCGATCTTAGGCTTGCTGTCCGTAACTCATTGTTTTACTCATAATTTGTTTTTATTTGAGTGTAATTTTTAGATTTTTTTGTCAGTTATAAGGGTTGCGAGGTTAGGGAGCTCCGTAAATCCTATAGTTAGTAAAAACTGTCATATGTTAATTGACCTTCTGGCCGTTCTTTTATAGACTATTTGTAATTTATGCCTTCTATCACTGGAAATTCTGCCACATTTAGATTTATACTATGGTTGGTCAGAATGACGGAGAAAAGGGAATGGAGCAGCTAAAAAAGGTTGGTTGAAATAGGAAGTAATAGGCAGGTTGTATTAATATATTTTCTGGAACTACTCTTCTTTTCCATCTTTGAGCTGGACAGAACCAGTCACCACGGTTACTGCGCTCATAGTTCTCGTTCTTGTTAGTTACTGGTCTTCTCTCTTTTAGATTTATGAAACTGTTGGTTTATTTGGTGAGGTCGAGAGGCATTGCGTGATTGCTATGGCTCAGTGTCGCGATGAGTCACTTCTTCAAAAGTTTTTCAAATACGCTGTTGAAGAGGTGGTGTTTTATGTTATTTTTGGGTATAAACCCTAGACTTCTTTCACTTTTGATTTTGTAGAGGTGCATGTGCATTTTAATAATTTGATGATTGCAGAAGAGAGTTCGGTCTCAAGATCTAATGCTATTATTTTATGGCGCTCGGTTAACTAAAGTCGGACAAGATTTTATATGGCCGTACTTCAAGGTGCTTTTGTACTTGCATTTTTTTTCCTACATAACAGTAACCTGTCTTTAACTTTTTCAGAAAGTTTAGAATTTCAGGAAAATACAACCACTTGGCTAGCTCGCTTTGGTGATGTCAATAGTGCCTTGTTCCAGCACTGCTTGAAGGCCAGTTGTGACGGGTGTTGTTCTTCAGAGATGGCAAAGGATGTTGAGGTTTCTAGCTTGATATCATCTTAATGCTTTTTAATGTGGATTTTTGGGTAAATTTTGAGCGTCTTATACTGTTGAGGAAATTCCGGAGGTTGATAAGAGTCAAGGTGATTTGCTAGTACTCTTCTTTGTTAAATTGACAAACAGCAACTTAAACATCCTAAACTCTTAGTAATTTTTCTGCCAAATATAATATCGTTTGCAGAATTATGTTTGTACGAAACTCGATGAGTGTGCAGCACGGACACTGGACAGAACGACAAAACAAATTGTTGAGTCAATTTATCTGAATGAGAAGCTCCTCAAGAACAATGTCAGTAGGATCTCGAGCTTTTTGAAAGAAAATGGTTTCTGACCTCATTATCAAAACTCGGGGCTTTCTGCTCTTCTGTGAGGCTTACATTGATATTGTTTCGTGTACATTTTGTATTGGTGGATGAATCTGTAATATCTTCAATTAATGTTTTTCAAAAACTTTATGCTACAGGTTTTGAAAGTAATCTGTGAGTCTTCCAGTTAACCACTGTCGTGGGATCTTCCTACAAATTTTTGTGTTGAGCGGCCTCCCTTTAGGTCCCTAGACCATTTAACAATTTTTGAAACTATTTATTACACGTGGAAAATGAGTCCATAAACTCTTTGGAACAAACGATGGGAACAAAAAGCAAGATACTAAATAGAAATAAGAAATGAGATCACATTTACTTGCTATCATTCTGTCCTTCCTGTCAATAAGACAGCTTTAGTTACAAAAAATAAAATACATTATTATTTTAACCTCAATAAAATATTCAATTATATTATTCAGATACAATCGGCAAGACTAATTTGTGCTACAACATTCTTCTGCCTCCGTCTAGAAACAATTTTTTTTTCTTTTTTGAAAGTGTTTTGTACGTTTTTTCAACGCGAAAGAAGGAAACTGGAACAGAAAAGTGCATTAGGAAAGGAAGAAGAAGGCTGCAATGAGCGAGTTGTTAATTGCCAGCTATTTGACTGACAAATTACCCGTTTGTTGAATACCTAGTTTCATATGTGGCACACAAAAAAAGTGGTGGGAATTAAAAAGATGTGACTAGCTTTGTCTATTGCGCCTGTGTTCTAAGCCGTTGGCAATAAGGATCCTGCGTCACAAGATTGGTATAGCACCTTTCTCGCGCAACGTGACTTTTTTACTCTGTTGCTGGCAGAATAAGTATGACGAAAGCTTAAGTACCACAACTAAGAACAGTATTACGGAAGCCGGGATAATGATTAATAAGAAATTGGAGTTTGGTGCTAAAGCTTGAGGCCTGTACCAAACGCGCATTTCCGACACAGCGTCACGACCAATCAGGTCATAGTTGGTTAAACGGATCAAATATTCACAAGCTTTATGAGCCGGAAAGTTGATTTTCGTTGATTTAACGGCCTGAAGTAATTTTTTTGGTCAGAATTTAGTCGAGTTATATTTCATAACTGCTGGACTGTAGATTTTTTAAGAAAAGAAGAATTTTATATGACATTATTAATTTCTTATAAAACTATTTGATGAGATCCACTTACAGCATTTAAGTATGTATTCACCGGTTCCTCTAGGCAACCAACATCTTTTGTGACAGATTCATAGAATAGCTGATATATCAAAATTGAATTTGGATCGCTTGACGGACGCCACGCAATATCTGCAGTGCCGTTTGGCAGAACTTGAACATGCAACTGTTGCACAGGTTCTGGTGCTGAAAATATATTCCTCGCTATCCGCAGTTATGCTTTGCAAGAAGCTGTGACACATTAATGAAGTTCGCATACTTGTCGAGGACAATAGAACAGAAATAAAGAAGTGATGCTGAAGGATTGGCTCACCACAATTGAGGCTTCCTCGTCCAAAAACCTCATTACATGCCATTGTTGTAAATTTACCTTCCAACGGCAATGCTGCAGTTGCTTCTTGTTCGTTAGACGGCAGCGAGTCTAAAGCACTTATTGCAACTGTATATTCGGTTGCGAATTCCAAATGTGACAGTAGGAAACCGGAACCATTGTCCTATAATACGGGTTAAAACTGTACTGTTTATAACAGAGCGATTCACGCAAATAAACAACTTATTGATGGGGCTAAACAAATACGGATATTTTACGATGTTTTGAATGACATATTAATGAAGTTAACCCGTTGTTGGAATGGTTAACAACATTACTAGATGGGTAAACAAATAGTGATAAAGCCATCATAATTGTGTGTTTATCTATGGTCATAGAAAACTGGAGAATAATAACAACAGTAATGACAAGGAGTAATGATTAATTAATTAATTTGGAGTTGCTTGTTTACCATAACAAAATTTGTAACTTGTTGATGACTGGAATTAGCTGTTACTATTTTGAAAAAACAGCTGTCTAATTGCGGTTCTTTAGAACCTCCAACATTTGAACTGCTACGTTCACTGAAACGATTCCATGATACCAGTGCAGAAACTCCATTATCGCTATCAAATTTAGACGTGATTTGTAATGGTCCATCTAAAATTGGTTATTAATCAATATAGAAAACTCATTGTTTTCTTAACATTTTATTTCCAAGACAACAAATAATATGTATCAATTGAGACGTGCATCGATTATCTGTTAGAAATTACTGTTCAAATAGAGAGCGGAGAATGCTGTCATATCTCAAAAAATAAATAAAACAAACTCACTCGGTGATTTCAACGAAGCGCCTAATGGTAAAGTCGCAGCCCATTCACTAGTAAGTGGATAACCAACCCGACCTCTTGGGCTAACTGCAGTTACCATAAAACAGTAATGAGCGTTTGGCATCATTCCTTCAACTTTAAAGGAAGGCTGCGATTCAATCTAAATAGAAAAAATTTTTTCTGTCAATTATTCTGTAATTCATATGGAGCTATAAAGTTAAGGTGTTCGGAAACTGATGTGTATGAACCGCTGTAAATGACACCTTTTTAACAATTAATCTTAGTCAGAAAAAAAAGTACTTTTTTTTGCAAAACACTTACAGAAGCAGTAATCCAATCGGTTTCTTCAACTTTTCCACGTACCATTGCCCGCTGTTTCCATTGGACAATATACCTTAGTGGTCCATCAAATTTTTTAGCTAAATCTATGAAAACAAATGCTTTGACGCTATCCTCAAAATCGCTGTCCTCAGAGGAACCAATGTTCATACAACCAACTCGAACAGCTTTCATCGGTGATGGACCAGTACGTTCTGAAATATTTACTGTGAATATTTTGCTTTATCGTAGCAATGCTAAAAATGCCAATAACCTTATGCTGCTAAAGAAAAGGGACGTCAAGTACGACAAGATGACCATATACTAATGACCATATAGTACCATTATCATGCAATTATCACAGCTGCTGACAGTAGATTCGAGTAACTATTCAAAATCGTTCAAAAATATTGCTGACATTGGTACTATGGCACAGCATCAATGAACTGTTCAATTACCTATTTTTGCTGGTTGAGGTTTTGTTTCAGACCAAAAGTGAATCCCATCTTGTAAAGATTCTCGAAGTGAACGAACCGATTTCTTGATAAAAGCTCGTCCTTTTTTACAACCAGTTTCACACTAAAAATATCATTTATTTTTTCTGTTTTTTTTATTTTGCTATTGCCAAGGTTGAAGTTTTCTAGAAACCGAGCCAATCTATCCTTATCGGCAGTGATTTTTACGTAGACTGGTTAATGCAGAATGAAATTTTTCTTATTATTCTTGAAACTAACAACAAAATTCATTTCTTTTCTTTGCAGACATATATTTTCTTGACAGTTTTGCAATAATTTATTAAGTGCAACAGAAACAGCAAAAACAAGACCAAATATCAGGAAAAAGTAAAACAGGATTAAAAGCTTCTTTCTTTTTTTTTTTTTCTTTTTTGGTCAAAACAACATTTTCGCTGAACTAAAATAAACCTTTTTCTTTTACATTTCTGTTCATAATTTCTTAAAATTTTATAATTCCTTAACTAAGATAAAGATGGGAAAATTAGAATTATCAAAGTACAGGAAAAAAAAATTTGACAAATTTTCACAAGCACTTACAATCTCAGCATTTTCATCGTTATTGACCATAAATTCAATGTAGCTGCCGTCAAGAAGTCGTCGACGAATTAAAGTACCGTGCTAAAATCTTAGTAATCTTTAAATTGTTGATATTTTCTTTCAAGATTTTCACTCTAAGATATATCAATAACAGATCAATACAAAATAGAAAATAAAAAATTCAGTATTTTACAATTTATATTGAAAAAAAATAATAATAATAATTTTTTTTTTCTTTTAAAACCATACTTTTTCAGCACATTTTGCCTCACACTGAGCCAACCGAAAATAATGCGTAAAATCAATTTGAACAAATGGCAAAACCACAAATGCAAAGTATTGGTGATACTGCAGATATGCTAAAAGCATCCAAATTGTCATCCACCTCATCATTGAAACACTGCAATGTTCATTTTTTTGGTTTTTTAGTTCTAAATGTCTGTTTGAAATTTAAGCACATACAGTTGACGTCGATAAATTTGCCTCCCAAAAAGAGTTTCTTTTGATTTACTTCAAAACGAAGAAAAAAAAAAAAA